TAAAACCACGCATAAAATGGGTGCATATACGCGCAATACGCGCGCAAATATTCGCCAACAAAATGTACACGTTTTTGGCAACGCCGGCAAAATCCAAAAAAACCGGCGTTTCGTTATCGATACGAAAAAAGCTTTTATAAGCGGCGGCTAAGCGCTTAAAATCGCAAAGGTTTTTTTTTATATAAAAAAACGGTTACAAACCGAAACGTTAATAATGCGCCGGCGAATTTTAATTAATAAAACGCATTTTATTACAATTATTTTTTTAATTTTAATATTAATAGCATTAAACGTTTAAATAAAGTTACAACCCGTTACCGTTGCGCTAAAGCTTTAAACCCGGGCTTACGCAATAAAAACTTTAAATAAAATGCACCAAGCCCGGAATGTTATTTTTATATTAATTAATTAGCGTACAAAGCGTTAAAAAGCAAATAACGGCGCGAAGCGAATAACGCGTTACCGTGCCGGCGCGGATTTTGCGGGCGTTTATATTGTTAATTGGTATAACGGAAAAAAACGAAAAAAAAACGAAACGACAATAAAAATATAAAATAACAATAGCGTTAAACCGGCGGATTAAAAAATCGTAATAATAAAAATAGTAATAATGGTTAAAAAAAAAATTAAACGAACGTAACGCGAAATAAGGAAAAAATTAAAAAAACGGCGAAAAAACGCTAACGCAACGCGGGGATTTTGCTTTAAAAAAGCGGTAAGCGAAGCATTACAAGCCCGTACGCAAAAAAAAATAAAAAAGCGCCCCAAACAAACGAAACTGTGCACGCAACGCTATACCGGCGCAAGGCATTACGTTAGCGCAATTAAAATAATTGCGATTTTGTAATAAAGTATTGTTACGGTACGCGTCGGGGCATTTGGGAAAAAACCTAAGGCCGCACTTTTAGCGCGCCAACGTTACGCTTACAAAACCGCGACAAAACGCTAGGGACGCCCTGCCCAAATAGCTTCCTTTTCGTGCAACAATAAAGCCTTTTTTATAACAATAAGGTGTGAGCCGTGGCAATATCCCCGGCAGGATTCGAACCTGCGTCTTCTAAAAAGGACCTTTTGGCGCTGAACCACTGCGCCACGAGGACATTATAACCGTTTAACAAATAAGCCAATCGGGTTTAAAGCTTTTACTTAATCCAGCCGGAACTTAAAAAGTACCGGTTAAATTAAATTAAAAATTAAAACGAAAGGTGCAAAAAATAATAAAAATAACCGGAAATTCGAAAACGTTTACGCTAATATTAATTGGGGTTTAAATTAAAAAACGGCGCAAAACTTTTATCCGCTTAACGTAACAAACCCAATTAGCTTTAACCCGTTTAGCGCTTTCGGCAAACGCACGCGCTTTTATTGCTTTTATTGCTTAAGCGTTATTCCAAACCTTTTTGCGGGCAATTTGTTACTTTCGCGCGTTTTTTGTATTCCGTTATTTATTTTTTTCCGCGGGGGATTTACTTTTTTTTTGCTTATCCTTTTTGGTTTGTTAAGTTTTTTTTTTTTAAACAATGCTTTTTTCGCTTATTTAATTTTAATTGCTAAAATAGCTATAATTTCTTGCAAATCCGCATTATACGCGCACAAAACGAAATTAACGAAAAAGCAATAAATTGGTAAAAAAGCAAAAAGTTACAATTTATTTTTTTTGGGCTTAAACCCGTTTAAATTCTTTGCGCTTAACGCGCTTTCGAATGGTTGTACGCGTTGCTTTGTTACCGGCAATACCCATTTTTTAACTAATTTATTAACACTGTACGATGCTTTTAAAACATTACGCCGCCGCGCAAAGCATTTACAATTATTTGCTTTTGCTTTTGCAAAAAAATTTGTATTAGCAAAAGCTTAAACAATGGGAACAAAAGCGTAAAAATTTACGAATTGGTAAAAAAATATTGGTAAAAAGGAAAAAAAAGGAACGCCGGAACGAAATGGGAAAAAAAAAGGGTTAATTTGTTACGCCCATTTTTTCCCGGTAATGGTTAAAGCATTTGCTTTGTTACCTTTTATGGCTAAAGCATTTATTTTGTTACTTTTAATAGCGGGAAATGCTTGCTTTGTTATTTTTCAAAGCTAATGCGTTTTTACGGTTATTTTTTTAAAAAAAAAACGCTTGCTTCGTTACTTTTTAAAATTAATGCGCTTTTACAATTAACCTTTAAAAGCGCGGTAAGCTTTTAAATTTTACGCTATTAATATAGCAACCAATTTCCCTTTATTTTATTTACAAACAACTTAAAAAGCTTGCTTAAAAGGTATGTTACAAAGTAAACAGTATATATTGTTATAAAAAAGCCTTAAACATAAATATTAAATGCTTAAGGCATTGGAAAAGCGGTTCCTTTGCCTGGAAGCGTATAACGCTTTTAAGCGTTAGGAAAGAAGCTTAATAAGCAAAAAGGACAGGGAATTACGTGTATATAAAGGGCAAAGGCCCTTACGGGGCCTTGCACTTTAAATCCTTTCCTCTTTAAAGCAAATTAACCGGAATAGCCTTACACCGTGCCTATACCTTCTGCTTACAACATATTTGCAATTACCGGTTAAGCTTTAAAATCCGAAAAAAAACGGTTAAATATTAACCATTTACCGTTGTTATTATTAAAGGTTTTAAAATGGTTATCGAAAATGCAAAAAAAAAAAAAGCCCGCGGTTACAAATTAAAAAAAAAGGCTTTTTTATATTATAACGGACCCATTTTTCGGGGCGTTAAAAAAACTTATAACCGGTTTTCCCGGGCGCAGCCAGGCATTGGAACGGTTTAACGGAATACCATTACTTACCGGCTGCTTACAAAAACTTACGCGCGGCGCGTACGGCTTAAAGCAAACCGTATCGGGGAAAAGCAATGTATTAAATGCACGGGAAAAACGGCCAAACAAAAAAAGGAAAAGGCGTTAAAATAAATAGCAAAGCACGGACTTTCCCGGTAACGTACCGGCAAATTACCGGTATTGCGGCCAAAATACAACGGCAAAATTAAAAAATAAAACAAAGCCCAAATTGCACGAAAGCGCTTAAAGCATAAAAAAAATTTATAAAACCAATCCCGCGTGCCCCCAAAAGGGCACGAAAGGGAGGGAAGTTAAAAAAGGAACAATTAATTGGATAACAACAATTTGGAAAAAGAATTGCATTGGCTTAAACGGGGAAACACCGCATCCGGCCCGTAACTTGGTAACTACCCACTTTTGCACAAATTAATTTTTAACACGTTAGCAAAACGCTTATTTAACGCCGGTTTTAAGGGTTATTTATGCAATAAAAACGCCGTTTAACAACGTTAGCGGCTTTAAAACCACGCATAAAATGGGTGCACATGCGCGCAGCACGCGCGCAAATATTCGTTAACAAAATATACGCGCTTTTAACGGCGCCGGCAAAATCCAAAAAAATCGGCGTTTTGTTATCGATACGAAAAAAGCTTTTATAAGCAGCGGTTAAACGTTTAAAATTATAAAGGTTATTTTTTATATAAAAAAGCAATTGCAAACCAAAACGTTAGCAATGCGCCGGCAAATTTTAATTAACAAAACGTATTTTATTACAATTATTTTTCCGATTTTAATATTAATGGTATCGAACGTTTGGATAAAATTGCAATTTATTATTGTTGCGTTAAAATTTCGAACCCGGGCTTATGCAATAAAAGTTTAAATAAAATATACCAAATTTGGAATGTTATTTTTATGCTAATTAATTAACGTGCAAAGCGTTAAAAAGCAAATAACGGCGTAAAACGGATAGCGCGTTACCGTGCTAGCGCGGATTTTGCAAGCGTTTATATTATTAATTAATATAACAAAAAAAGCAAAAAAGTAATAAAACGATAATAAAAATACAAAACAACGATAGCGTTAAACCGGCGAATTAAAAAATTGTAATGGTAAAAATAATAATAATAGTTAAAAAAAAAGTTAAACAAACGTAATGTAAAACGGGGAAAAAATTAAAAAAACGGCGAAAAAATGCTAACGTAACGCGGAAATTCCGCTTTGGAAAAACGGTAAATAAAACATTGCAAGCCCGTACGCAAAAAAACAAAAAAACGCCTTAAACAAACGGGGCTATGCACGCAACGTTATACCGGCGCAAAGCATTACGTTAACGCAATTAAGACAATTGCAATTTTGTAATAAGGTATTATTACGGTACGCGTTAAAGCATTTGGGGAAAAACTTAAAGCCGCATTTTTAGCGCGCTAACGTTACGCTTACAAAACCGCGACAAAACGCCAAAAACGCTTTGCTTAAATAGCTTCCTTTTCGTGCAATAACAAAGCCTTTTTTATAACAATAAAGTGTGCGCCGTGGCAGCCGCAAACGAATTAGCCCTTTATTAAAATGCTGCGTTACGCCGAATGTTACGGTACAGTCGCTTATAAGGACCTCGCATGGGTTGTAGCCCTAGCTACAACAACGTTCTTCTTTTGCCTTGGTGTAACGGGTACTACCTTGGTTTAGTCCCGTAACACCGAAGCTATGGGCATTACCGCTGGCGCTTTTCCGATACCTAAACGCGTTTCCGAACCGAATGCTTGCGCTGTATCGAAAAGAACGATATCGTTCTCGTCGCCGTCGTTCGAAAGCGATACCTGGAAACCTCTAAAACAGGTGAAGCAAGGACGAGGACCGGGGAAACCGCTCCTACGAGAGATCGGGCACGTGCTACAACACCCGCAACGGTGGCTGCAACCCACCCGGAACCTGGGTTGGACGTTGCCCCTTGTAGCAAACCTAAGCCAAGGAAGATTCGCGAAGTCTTGCAAATCAAGGAGGCAGTGGAAGGTTTGGGGTCTGCCAGTATGGTAAACATGGGGATTGGAGTATTCTGTGCAAAAAAAAACTTAAGACACGAGAGCCTCGAATTCGACTACATGGGGGTATATCGAAAGGAATAAATGGCCCGATCGAGACAGGACACAAAAAAGGACAAGAAATAAACCCGTCAATCCCGAAACAACTGCAAAGGCAGCCTCCTCACCGTCTACACTATGGCGCATTACCACCAGCGCCGGCACCACCACCCGCGCCCCCAGCACCGCTAACCCCACCAGCCCCAGGAGGCGGCGGCACATGCCAAACCGGCGGCGGCACAAGCGGTAGCGACGGCAGCGGCTTGGCCGGGTCCGGGATGACCGGGTCCGACGGCGGAGGGTCGATGTCGCCAAAGTAGTGCCTGAAGAAGTTTGCAATGTTCTGGTCCGTCTCCAGGTCCGTCTGCTCGTGCGACGGGTCGTCGTCGTCCTCGAGTGCGCGGTCGGCCTCGGCCGCCTCGCGAGCCTGCCCCCCCCCAATTTCAGGGGTTCTGCTCAGCCGTGCGCCATCGGGGCAACTAATAACAAGAGAAACAACAAGGGTGTCTCTCTCCTCCTCGGAGATATCCGTACGCAGCTGCCTCCATTTCTCTGCTAATTTCCACCCTACACATCCATCCCTGGAACGGCTCTCAAACTTCATGTCCCTCCATTATTTTTGAGGGGGGCTTTCTCCTTCCTTTTCTTTTTCCTTTGCGAAAAAAGACGCAACGATTAAAGCATTCCCATCAAACACGTCGCCAAACCTCATTTTGACGCAATTGCCACCAAGTATCCGTAAGGTACCTAGGACAGGTACATAGCCTGCCGTGAGATCGCCATGCTCTGCAAGGCCTGCCAGTTCGTGCTGCAAAACACGTCGGCCTGCACCGGGCAGCAGACCACATTCCGGGCCTCGCTGTGGCGGATCCGGGGCAACTCGACATTCGGAAACTGCTTCCTTTGCACGGCCGTCGACAAGGCCGTGCACGGTTCTGGCCCTTTCGAAAGGAGACTGGCTGGATGCCCGGACGATTCCGACGAGTTGTCCAAGACCGAGGCCCTGGTGCTCGGCTTCGCTTGTAGGATCGCGTCGCGGCCTCGGTTTTCCCAGCATGTGCGTGGTGAGTTATTCTAGTTGGGTGCATCGATTCAACGTTGCCGCCGATTGATGGGAGCCAGCATGCAGGCAGGTCATGTTGATCAAGGCGTGGATACCTAGGTGGCAGGTATCAGAGCATGCACTAACCGGTCGAGCAGAAAAGGACGTCAATTTTGTGATTGACTGGGAGTACACTTGGCCGCCCAGTGGCGAGGGCGAGGGCGAGGGCACATCGACAGGTGACTCTGCAGCTGGGTCATTGGAGTTCTACTTTTCCCCCATCCACAAGGACCAAGAGAGCGACGAGTCGGTGGGCGTCGAAATGCGGCTGCTCAACCGGGGCGCCCCGTCCCGTGTCAGCGTGCAGTACAAACGGAAACAGTACAGCGAGAACTGCCCAGAGTGCCGTTCCCTGGACCTGCCCAAAGACGCCTTCCACGCCTTCCTCGACCCGGAGCAAAGCCAGGCCATGTTCGGCGACACAGGCCGGTATGTGGAGGACGATGGCGGCAACACCATACTCCGAGACGGCTTTCGGCTCGACCCCGACGTGGACGGGGACGTGGCTAGCGGCAACACGGGGTCCGACCAGACATGGAACCAGATCCGGCGGTGGATGGACATGTGCCACGCCACGCACGACAAGTGCCCCAAGCCAACGACCTCCAACGAGAATGCGGATGGGGCCGTGACAGCTTACTACCCAACCAGGCTGCTCGACATGCAGTCGCCCGTTGACGACGACCTCCACGGCCCGATACGCCTCATCACATGCCGGGACGAGAAGCCGACAGGGCGCTACATGACGCTGAGCCACTGCTGGGGGAAGCAGCCCATCATCACGCTCACCTCGGAGAATCTGGCCGAGCTCTCGCAGCGCGGCATCGCCTTTGGGGCCCTGTCCAAGACGTTCCAGGATGCCGTCGTCATCACGCGGAAGATGGGGGTGCGCTATCTGTGGATCGACTCCCTCTGCATCATCCAGACGGGGCAGGACGCGCGGCAGGACTGGCACGTCGAGTCGGCGACCATGGCCCAGGTCTACCGGGGCACCTTCCTCAACATTGGGGCGACCGGCGCGGCCGACGGCCGGGACGGCTGCTTCCGGGCGAGAGACTACGACGACGTCTTTAGGCCGGCTGTGTAAGTGCCTCTCTGCTACCTACCTACATTACAAATCCCTTTGCAACCGCCGGCCTAACCCAGCATCTCCCAACATCATCAGCTGGAAATCCGACTGCATGACGCACTATGCGCAGCACCGACAAAAGTACCGGCTTATCGAGCCGTCCTTTCTCGACGACTGGCTGCTCGGCGAGCCGCTGCTGCAGCGCGGGTGGGTGTACCAGGAGCGCTTCCTGGCGCCGCGCATGCTGCACTTTGGGTCGCGCCAGCTGTTTTGGGAGTGCCGCGCGACGACGGCCTGCGAGTCGTTTCCGGCGTTCCTGCTGCCACCCATCGCCATGATGACCCTCAACCACCCCGAGCTCGTGGAGCTGATGGAGGGAAAGTCGACGACGGACAGCAGGCGGGGCCACAGCGTGTGGCACCGTATCGTCGAGGAGTACTGCGCCAAGGCCCTGACCAAGGGCGAGGACAAGCTCGTGGCCATCTCGGGCGTGGCGCAGCAGTACTGGGACCTCGTGCTCGGCGCGGACGACCAGTACTGGGCCGGGTTGTGGAGCTCCGACATGCCGCACGGGCTGTTCTGGTCGGTCGAGGACGGCCGGGGCAGGCGCCCGGACGGGTGGCGGGCCCCGACCTGGTCGTGGGCGTCCATTGACGGCCCCATCACCGCGGGCGCGGCAAGGCACTTTACTGCCAGCGGCAAAGACAGGCTGCTGGCCGCGTTTGAGCACCCGAAAATCGGACGCGCCCGAAAGTCAAATCCCTTTGGCCCTGTGACCTCGGGCGCGTGGAAGTTCCGGACGCGGCTCGTCCCCGTGCGCGCCGTCCGGGATGGCAGTGACAAGGGCGGCTGGCAGCTGCGCGCAAACGACGGAAGACCAATCAAAAACAGCAAGTGGGCGCCGGACGAGGCCGCCGGGGATCCCGTTGTCCTGCTGCTGTGCCTCTGCGTGGTGTCGGGCGAGAGCGGCATGCACGGCTTGACAGTTGCTCAAGTAGAGGGAAAGGACAATGAATACGTGCGTACTGGTGTCTTTGAGCTGTGGAAGGAGGACGGAGATGACGAGGAGGAGGAGGAGGAGGAGGAGGAGGAGGAGGAGGAACATGAGATTGAGATCAGCTTGGACTACTACGAGGAGACAGCAACAAGCGATGGTGGTGGGGAAATCGAACTTGAGAAAATCCCACCAAAGCGCAGCAGTACAACAAGCGACGACGACGAGCCTCTGCAGCTTGCTTCGGAAAGCCGTGGCAACTCGACGGATGGTGGGGACGAAGAAGAAGAAGAGAAGAAGTGGTTTTGCCCCCCACCGCCGTTCCGTAGCGTGTGGGAGCTGGGTGTCGAGTTGAGGACAGAGAACCACTGGTTGATCCTTTACAGTTTGGCATTTGGGGGAGAGGAGGACCTTTGGGTCGTGTAATTTTTGGTTATTAGCACTGGTTTCTTACACAGGTGCTCCTGGGACGAGCACGGACTTGTGGTTAAACAAGGAGATCAACCTCCCAGATGACGATCCTCGGCTCGTCCATATAATGGTTCATTATTTCTACCATTTGGACTACGATGTCCAGGGACAGGATCGGGGTGGCCCTTTTGATGGGCCAGAGATGAAGGGAAACGGAACCGACGACGGCGAGCCGATCCTTGTTACTCATGCAAAGGTTTACACTTTAGCAGAGAAGTACCTTATCGACGGACTGAAGAGCCTCGCGCTTCAGGAATTCGAGATGGTGACTGCTGGGACCTTAGATGTCGATCATTTCCTCCAGGCAACGCAGGAGATATAATTACACATCCACTATTAAAGGAGAGAGAGGCTTGAGGGATGTCGTCGTGGCAATCTTTTTTAAGCACCCCGAATGGCTGGACGAGAGCGAAGTGCAACAGGTGATCAAGGAGTTAGGAGCTTTGACATTTGATCTCGTCATGTATGCGCACCGACGTGGCGAGTTCGCTCGGTCGTATTGAGGTCCTACCTCAAGACCATCAGGGCCTTGGCCCGATACGACCTCGATAAGTAATGGTGCACGAGGCTGGGAACGGTCGTGCTGCAGTAAGCAGAAAACCCAGAGGAAGAGAGTGGTGATCAAATTCGTATGGGAGTAGGAGCACGCAGGCGTAGGGGAAAATAAAGGCGGCGGCTCAACAACAGAATACGAAGCGTGCTTTCGGAGTCAGTACTGCGGGTGGCGACGGTGACAAGAGTGAACGGAGAGTCGGGGCTGTGGTTGAGGCCTTTCGTCGCAGTGGGCCGCGTGGCCCCGCTCGTGGTTCGTCTCGATGTGATGGTCGCGTCCTCAATCGATTGCATGGCTTCGCGCACCTTGGTGCTTGGTTTCAGAGTACAGTACGGTCGCCTTAGTGAGGGTGATTGGTCGGGCGTCTCATGCCTGGCGGTGCCATCTCCAGCCGTGACTGTGATCGTGTCCTTAACCGGGGTTCCAGGGTCTTGGGGCGCGCCACCCCGTGCGGCGCCCCCAGGCGGCGCTCATCGCTTAGTTCTTCCACTCTTCTCCCTGGCATAAGCTTGGAGGCACAGTCCCCCAATGGCGGGCCGAACCGCCAAAGATGCCGCGATGCCGCCACAAAAAGAAGTGGGGCGACACACAATACCAGGGACCCAACTACTGATTTGGCCCCCAAAAGCTTATCTTTTCGGGCAAGAGGGTTAAAAAACAGGGGGTTTCGGGATCCAAAAACGGGTGCCTCTTTTCCTCTGTTAGTGCTGTCCGTTTTAAGAAAACGGTGAACCCGGCTGTGCCGCAGAACCGTTCAGGCTTATGCAGCAGGTGCGGCACAGCAGCCAATCGAGCGCTGCCATCGGGCACAACCCCGCCCTCAGGCAGCAGGGGACCCGCGCGATTCAGTCCGCGCGTTGTTACTGCCGTCGGTCGCCGTCGACACATCGGCGTCGGGCAAGGCCGCACGGGCCGCCGTCGCCGCCGAAGTTGATCCTGTGGACGGTCAGGGTTGCAGCCGGTCCTGAGCAAGCCTGGGATGAAATAGAGCAGGTCTTCGGGAGCGGGTCTTCGGGATCGGCGACGACCACTGGGTCACTTTCCGCAAATAATTTTCTGACTCCCAGCTCACCCCTTCCCCCCTCCCGGAAGCGACAGCAAGTCCTTTGCTCGCCCTGAGAGCCTGATGCCACATGTGACGCCACTCACCTGCTCGGCTAATACCCCTGTTACCCCCCTTGCTCGACTCATATCGTAGCGTTTAATATCCTTCTCATCTGTAGAACAAGGGCGGCATTCCGTCCGTTGTAGGGTTGGAGGGGTTGGGTTGCTCGGGCGCACGGACATTGGGTTCACTTTGACTGCACGTGATCTTCCCATCTCCTGGCCAACTCGGTACGCTACCTAGTGAGGATCCTAGCTGACCCGCATCTCTAGCCAGGTATCTGTTGCCCCCCACTAACCGAAAAAAAAAAAACGAGCCACAAAACTTTTCCCCCATACAACTCTACAGCAAAAAGCATCAGTCTCAATCAAAACAAACCCAATTCGCGATGCCTCAGCACCATTCTACGCCTAAAAAAGCATTAATTACCTAGAATCTTGACTGCCCATTCAACTGCATAGAAAAGCAGTTAAATTTTATTTTTTTGTTGTTGATGATCAGCTTTTTGAAGTGTGCCCCTATTTTGGGTGGGTGGCTCGTTTTTTGTTTTCGGTTGGTGCCCCCCTCAAGTCTAGGTTCCTATCGTCCGGAATGATGGACGCGGTGGCTGCTGCCGCTCCAAAAGCGCCCAGATCAGCTTCAGGGGCCTCACAGGGAGGGCCGTCGATGCGGGATGTCGTCAGTCTTGACAGAACAGGAAAAGCAGACACCCTGGCCGACTTGGCCTTGCCAGGACTAGTAGGCACGCTGTTGAATGCGACCAAGGGCCTGGGCGGCGGATTGGGCTGATGTGGCGCCTATTCCGACGACCTTGAAGCAACTCTACGTGGTCCCCCGATCGTCGCCTGGGGCGGGATTGTCCTGGGCGACAGCGGCTGTGTCGCCGAACGGTCTCGACCTCGGCTCAGGACCCGAGGCTGCGAGCGGGAGCGCTCGAGATTGGGTAGTTCCCTTGCCAGCCCGCCCAGACGACGAGCGGCGTGTCGGTGCCCGGTGATGGGACCGCGCTGCCCAGTAGCCCCCCATCTCGATCGGAACATTCCTCCTGGCTGGCCCCGGGGACGTACGTGGACGGGTGGGTGCCTCGCCGTGCGACCGTGGCAGCAGAGCCTCTATTCATCCCCACCCATCGTTCCGCCTTGGCTGACTCCAGATGGGGGATCCGGGAGGTAGTACCAGATACCAGGTAGGTAGGTACCCTTCGTGCTTTCGAGCAGCACTCCAAAAAGGGCTCTGCGAGCCCGCCCAAAAAAAGCCAATCGACGACTGCCGCGTTCGAGAACGCGGATGGCGGCAGCACCTGCAAAGGGGCCTCAGCCTGTGTGCTAGACCGGGCGCCACCTCTCTCTCTCTCTCTCTCTCTCTAAAAAAAAAAAAAACGCCATTTTGTTTTTGCCAGCTTTTGCACAATGCGTGCATGGGCGGGCACCCTATCATGTGTGGTCGCCCCCTCCCATCGGCCTCGTTCGCGCCTTGCGTGGCCTTCACGATTGGCATCCTTCTTCTGTGGGGCGCCTGCCCGTTGGCCGCCTTCGCCGCAAGCCTGCGCCCGAGAGGGTGTCGTCGCGTCACCGCCGGCTTCGCTGCGTCGTCGCGACACTGGTGGCCCGATCTGGTGATGGGGTCTTCATTGGGTATATGTGTATCAACGCCACCTCCGCCCGGCTTCCCAGAGCTCTCGCTCGCTTTTTTTGTCTGGCACAAAATGTTCTTCCCTTGAAATGCCGATGCCTGCCCGACTGTGGTGCCGCCGTGAAAGTCGGCAAGGCTCGATATAATGTCGTGGAGCCTGCCTTTTCCTCCCACCCTTTTCTGCCCACTCGATCAAACAAAGTCTAGGACTTCACCAACATCCATTTGACGATAGACCCAATCCTGCATTTCCCCGTCTCAGTCCTATCGCCAGCCATGCCTGCACAGCCATTTGACTTGGACGCTGCCGAGCAAGGCATGGCCAGGAGCTCCACCTCGAGCACAGCCGTACACTCGGACCTGGAAGACTGTGAGCTCCGTGATCTAGTGCCTCCTTGCAGACGAAAACGAGAAGAAATAACTGATATTCGATGGTGGCCAAGTCGGCATCAAGGAGCTCACCATTCCCGCCATGCAAGCCGTGTATCTGGATATTCGCTGCTTCCCTGTCTTTCCCGAGGCTGCCTGTGACTCCATCCACGGTTTGGCTAGCGGTGTGTACTCTCTTATCAAGCAGAAAAATGATCTCATGAAGCTTGGCGTCGGCGAAAAGTGCCTTAGTTCCGTGCAGCAGCAAACGACCGAGGCCCTGGAGAAGTACTGTGGGTTCGCCATGCCCGTCCCTACCAGGAGTCCTTATGCTCATTGGACAACTCTCCTCCTGCCTAGACTCCTTCTTAGCCCTAGCCAACAAGGTGCTAGGGTTTGAGACTCCTAGCTCCGCATCCCTCAAGGAGCTAGGGGCCTTCTACAGGCAGCAACACCTAGCTGTCCCTGAAGCAATCCGGAACGACTTACAGGGCGAGTACAGGCTCATCAATCCCAAGCGGGAAAAACACGAGAAGGAGCTTATCAAGTGCTGGCATAATATGGACTGGGAAAAGTGGTTTGTGAGCGCCCCGTCCATTCCCACCACCACCCACCCCGCACCCTGCATGCTAACCCCTGCGTCTACTTCTGAGGCAGGCCTGGGCCAGGATGGGCAACATACAAGGCGATGGCTGGCTGTCCGGCTCGACCACCTTTTCGGACCGCAAGGTCATGGTGCTCGCGGGCGCTCTGAGGTCCATCGTGGTCTGCCTGGCCGTGGTAGTACCCATGGCCGTGGTCCCGCTCGGGGATCTCAGCACTGGCGTCGCGCTCATGGTCTGCCTCCTGCTGCTGCTGATATTCGGGGGCGTGCAAATGTGGCTGTTTGCAAACCACGAAATGTCGTTCCTGGTCTATGCTGGTTTCCTTGCTACCATACTTCAGGTAAAAACCGGAGGCTGAGGGCTTGTCCTTGTTCCGGGTGTATACATGCCCATGGCTGGAGCAAGAGGGCGAGCGCGACCGCCATATCCCTCTGGGCGTGTACTGGACTGGACGTATGGATGGATATGATACCTGTCTCTGGTGTGGATATTACTAGCTAATCTGCTAATTTAATTGCAAGATAAAAAGGCGAAGCAGCGTATATGCATCAAGTCTTGCCCGCGCCTAGGGCACGTGGCATCGGGCGCTTATCCGTCCTTTGTGCGGCCCTAAAACGTGGTCTGGCGAAACTAGGCCAGGCTGACGAATGGATCACCACCAAGCCCCTCCCTCCCCTCCATTGGCCTCTTCAAAGGCTCATGTCAACCTGGCTGCGACCGGACCGAGCTCGGTGATGGGTAGTGCGGGAAAAAGGACGCAGACCCGAGGTCACAGCGGCGGCAAAAACACAAGAGCCGTGCAGGTGTTTGCCGCGCGCACTCGCCTCGGTATGCGGTGTGGTGTGTGTTTGATCGCGATTGCACGACGCACCTCT